AGCAAAATTAATGGCTGTTCTTCAGCAAGAGACATGAGTTTCGGCATGCGGCTGCAACACTGCCCACATGGGCCATCAACCAGTGGGTGGGACATAGAACAGCCTTGGGAATCACAGCATGAACACTAGGAAGGCATGTAGAGGCATCAGGGCCACTTAAATGGCCCCCTGCAGCTAGTCTTTGAAGAAGTCTGGGTCAGATATACACAAGATCAGAATTTTAGCAGGGTTAGAAAGAGATGATTTCTAACTTTGTGTATCAAATGTTATATATGAATGTAAGTGTGACAAGTGAACCTGTCTTGTATTTTTAGATGTTTCTAGAAATGCAGGGGTCAGGGAGTAGTCAAGATTACTTATTTAAATTTCATGAAATTAATTACCCATGGGGGCCTATTTGTTTCTGTGCCGTCTTAGGGGTCACATTTATTCTGTTCGCTGTCAACAGGCTGGAAGCCTGTTACCTCTGTGAATCGTGTGCGTGTGTGTGTGTGTGTGTGTGTGTGTGTGTGTATGTGTGTCCAAAATCCTCATTCTAGAAATGACAGAGGATTAATTTATAAAAGTTAAGGTCTCTTTTAAAATTTTTGGTGTTTCTTCTTTGCCCAAAGACATATTCCTTTTTGATAGAGGACATTGTTTGCAAGGTTTCTGATATTTTCTATATGGTCTTCCTTCAAGCTTAGTGACAAAGTTCATGCATTTCTAAAAGTAACATTTAGAAAATGTATATTTAAAATAATTCAAGACATTTTCTTGAGTATCTTCTAAGATGACGCCTATATTCAATATATTCTCAGTAAGTATTTAGGATTTTGAAGCACTTGTCATGTTTCTAGATTATTATTTTGAAATTTAAGTATTGAAATTTTTTATTCTTAAGTATTTTCTTCTTTTTGATGCTATTGTAAATGGAATTGTTTTAGTTTCCTTTTCAAATTATCCTTTGTTAGTGTATAGAAACATGACTGAATTTTGTATGTTTATTTTATATCCTGAAACTTTGCTGAATTTGTTTATTCTAACTTTTTGTGGCATGTTTATGGTTTTCTACATATAAGATAATGTCGTCTATGGACAGAGGTGATTTTACTTTTCCTTCCAAATTGGATGCCTTTTATTCCTTTTTCTTGCCTGATTGCTCTGGCTAGGACTTCCAGTAATATGTTGAATAAAATTGGTGAAAGAAGGCATCTTTATCTTGGTCCTAATTTTAGATGAAAGCTTTCAGTCTTTCATCATTAATAGGAATATTAGCTGTGGGATTTTCATATACAACCTTGATTATGTTGAGGTATTTTCCTTCTATTCCTAATTTGCTGAATGTTTTTTATCCTGAGAAAGTGTTGAATTTTGTCAAATGCTTTTTTGGCATTAGTTGGGAAGATCGTGTGGATTTTTTCCTTCATTCTCTTAATGTAGTGTATTACACTGATTGACTTTTTTACAATGTTGAATCATCTGTGCATTCCAGGAATAAATCTCACTTGATCATAGTATATAAACCTTTTAATATGCTGTTGAATTCAGTTTGCTAGTATTTTGTTGAAGATTTTTGCATCACTGTTTATAAGGGTTATTGATCTGTAGTTTCCTTTTCTTGTGTCTTTGTCTGGCTTTGGTATCAGGGAAATGTTTCCTCTTTTTTTACTTTTTTGGAAAAGTTTTAGAAGGATTGGTTCTTTAAATATTTGGTAGAATTCACCAGTGAAGCTATCAGGTGCAAGATTTCTTTGTTGGTAGATTTTCGATTACCGATTAAATCTTCTTAATAGTAATAGATCCATTCAGATTTTTTATTAATTTGGGATTTAGTCTTAGTAGGTTTTGTGTTTCTACAAGTTTATCTATTTCATGTAGATTATCCAATTTTTTGACTTAACAATTGTTAACAGTACTCTTATAATCCTTTTTATTTCTGTAGACTTAAAAGTGATGTCTACATTTTCAGTTCTGATTTTAATCATTTGAGTCTTTTTTTCTTAGTCCATCTAGCTAAAGGTTTGCCTATTTGGTGATCTTTACAAAGAACCACACTTGGTTTCATTGATTTTCTCTATTGTTTTTCTGGTCTCTATTTCATTTATGTCTTCTCTAATCTTTATTATTTTCTTCCTTCTGCTACCTTGGGGTTTAATTTGTTCTTCTTTTTTCTAGTACCTTAAATTATAAAGTTAGGTTGTTGACTTGAGATCTTTCTTATTTTTTAATATAAGTATATATAGCTATACATTTCCCCCTTAATACTGCTTTCACTGTGTCCCATAAGTTTAGGTATGTTCTGTTTTCTTTTTCATTCATCTGTAAGTATTTTTCCCCTTCCTTTTTATTTTTATTTTTTTACTTTTTTTCCAGCTTTATCGAAATATAATAAACAATTAGTTTATAATAAACAGTTGCTCGTATCAAGTTTTTTTTCAATTGTAGTTGGCATATATTAGTTTCAGTTGTACAACATAATAATTAGAGATCTATATAACTCAAAAAGTGATCACTCCACTAAATCTAGTACCCTTCTTCCCCCTTACATATCTATTACATTATTAGCTATTTTCCTTATGCTATACTTTATATGCTGATGTCTATTTGATAACTATGCATTTGTATAATTTTTAATCCTTTGCCCTTTTTCGCTGTCCCTCCAACCCCCTCCCATCTTGTAGCCCTCGAAATATTCTTCGTATCTATGAGTTTATTTCCATTTTGTTGTTGTTGTTTGTTTTGTTCTTTAAATTCCACATGTATGTGAAAGCATGAGATATTTGTCTTTATCTAACTTCATTCAGTGCAGTACCCTCTAAGTCCATCAGGGCAATATCTTTTTCCATCCCTTTCCTTTTAGTCTGTATGTGTCTTTAAATCTAAAGTGAGTCTCTTATAGGCAGCATATGTATGGGTCTTTTTTTCTTATCCATTCAGTCACACGATCTTTTCCATTTGAGGTACTTGTTGATAAGAATGTAGTTACTACCATTCTTTATTCCTGTTTCGACACACGTTTTTTTCTTCTTAAAGAAGTCCCTCCAGCATTTCCTGTAATGCAGGCTCAGTGTTGATAAATTCCTTTAGCTTATTTTTGTCTGGGAAGCTCTTTATCTGTCCTTCAACTCTAAATGATAGCTTTGCTGGATAAAGTATTCTTGGTTGTATATCCTGAGTTTTCATCATGTTGAATATTCTGTGCCAAGCCCTTCTGTCCTGCACAGTTTCTTTTGAGAAATTGGCTGCCAGTCTTATGGGTGCTCCCTTGTAGGTAACTAACTGCTTTTCCCTTGCTGCTTTTAAGATTCTCTCTTTGTATTTAACTTTTATCATTTTAATTATGATGTGTCTTGGTGTGGGCCTCTTTGAGTTCTTCTTTCTTTGGACTCTCTGAGCTTCCTGGGGTTGTATGTCTATTTCCTTCACCGGGTTAGGGAAGTTTTCCATCATTATTTCTTCAAATAGCTCTTCAATGTCTTGTTTCCCTTTGGTAACCCTATGACGCAGATGTTTTTACGTTTAATATGTCCCATAGGCCCCTTTAAGAGGCATCTGCATATGCCACTGCCATACCCTCTCCCACTCAGCCACTCAGGACTGGGCAGCCTCGCGTCTTCACACCCTTCTACTTTCTACCATCGCAAGTTGATTTTTTCTCTCCCTACTTGTAGTGCTTCTGTTTATCTAGATCTCAGGTGACTTTCCTTGCTGTTTGCTCCATATTTCCATCCCAACTTTGAAGTGGTCACAAGAAGGATGAACAAAGCCTCTATCATCTATGCCACTTTTAGGTTCCTCCTCTCCTTTTCTTTATGATTTCTTTTTTGGCCCATTGGTTGTTTAAGAGTGTGGTGTTTAATGTCAACATATTTGTGAATTTTCCATTTTCCTTTCTGCTATTTTCACTTTCATTCCACTGTGATTGGAAAAGATACTTTGTATTATTTCATTCTTTTAAATCTATTAAGACTTGTTTTGTGGTCTAACATATGGTCTATCCCAGAGAATGTTCCATGTACATTTGAGAAAAATGTGTATTCTGCCGTTGTTGGGCATAGTGTTCTGTATATATCTGTTAGCTACAATTGGTCTACAATTTTGTTCAAGTCCTCTATATCTTTATTAATCTTCTGCCTGGTTGTTCTGTCCCTTATTGAAAGTGGAGTATTGAAGTCTCTTACTATTATTGTAGATCTGTCTATTTCTCTCTTCAATTTGTCAATGTTTGCTCTGTATGTTTAAGAGTTCTAATGTTTGGTGCATATATAAGTGTTGTAATTTGTTGGTGAGTTGACCCTTTTCTCATTATATATCTTTCTTTGTCTCTTTTAACAGTTTTTGGGCTTAAAGACGATTTTGTCTGATATTATTATTAGCCATCCCCACTCTCTTTTGTTTACTGTTTTCATGGAATATCTTTGTTCATCATTTTATTTCAACCTATGAGTGTCCTTAGATCTAAAGTGAGTCTCTTGTAAGTAGTATATTGTTAGTATATTGTTTTCCATTCTGCTAATCTGTGTCTTTTGATTGGGGAGTTTAACCCATTAATATTTAAAGTAAATTGATAGGGTTACTTATTATTGCCATTTTGTTGTTTTCTGTATGTCCCAATGATGTTTTAGTCCCTCATTCCTACCTTACTGCTTTACTTTGTTTTTGATTTTTTGTAGTAACATATTCTCTTTTTATTTCCTTTCAGGAATATTCTATAGATTTTTTCTTTGTGGTTACTATGGGGACTACACATATAACATCCTAAAGTTATAACAATCTATTTTCTACTGATACTAACTTAACTTCAATACTGAGATTTATTTTTTGTTTTTGAGCCCTTACTGTGTACCAGACATTGCGTGAAGCACTCTTTTAATCCTTTAGTATCCTTCTAAAATGCAAGTATTACTCTCTCCATTCTGCACTTGAGGAAACCAAAACACAAGGAGAATAATTAATTAACCCAAAGTCCCATAGCTAGAAAGTTGCAAAGTCAGAATTCAGTCCAGGTCTACCATACTCTCTCCCATGTTCCACCCAGCACCATGAACGGTCTGAACTCACATTTCCTCTGCATTCATCACATCAGGTGAGATAGCCACATGGATTTGTTAAAACCTGTAGCTGACTAGTCCCTTTCTTTCCAAAACACATAATTGATGACTTTCATTTTTTATTTGACATTTAACATGAGTATATAGTAAAACGGAAGCACAGGAATGGCAATGCAGAGTTGAGACTTGAAAGTGTACACAAAAAAAATGTAAGTTGTCTAAAGTTTAATGTGGCCAACTTAAAGTGGAAATTTTCCTTATAATTGTCACAATTTTTCCAATAATGGAACAAAACTTGAAACTGTTCATTAAAGTAATAAACATAGCTTTAAAAGACATTGTACATTGGATTGTAGGGGATTGTTTAATGAATACATTTTTTTCTTCTTTAATAGTCTACTGCCGGAAACATTAATTGGAAGTATGAGCTCCATTCATTTGTTGATATTTTATCGCCAAATTCTTGGAGATGTGCTCCTGAAAGACAGGATGAGCATGCAGAGTGCTGGTAAGGGGTCTTTGCAATTTCCTTTTGTACAATAACTCATGATGCTTTGAGTAAACATAAGCTATTTCAGCCTATGTCATCTTCTGAAGGTAACATTTAAAATAAAATTTTAAAAATAGTAAAGTCAATAAATTACTGCAGATCCAAAGCACTGTGCTCAGTGTGTATCCTGAGTGCAGTATGTATTAATTCTTTACAATATACATATTTTCATATTTTAAATTCTAGAGATTTGAGGTCCTGAAATTCAGATATAATCATATTTTATTTTAATGTCTTTGAATAATCTGTTTTTACCATATGTTTGATATACACATCATCTTTTTAGGAAGAGACTGAAATCACCCAAAATAACTGGTTCTTAATGCTCAAAGTGTAAATATCAATGGATTAGCTAAAATTGGTGAATCCAGATAACAGATATTCAGGAGTTCTGTGTACTGTTTTTACTCTTGCAACTTTTATTAAGCTTGAATTTTTTTTCCAAGATGTTAAAAAATAAATTTTAAAAATTAATGAGTTGTCACACACGATTGAACTTGTAAAGAGGAATGCATGTGTTATAAAAATTGTCTTCAAAAAACAATTTAATTTTATTGGACTTTCTCAAATTCAATAAATCAGTAAGAAGGTATTATTGAGTGCCTGCTATATGCCAGGCATTGTGAGACAGGCATGGTTATTCCTACTCTAGTGGAGCAACAGACCTTAAACATAAAATTACATGAGTAATCCTTTTCACCTTTTATAGTAAGTGTTCTGAAGGAAAATACACAATGAGAGCATACGATAAGAAGACCGGAATTAATGTGTAGGTTGAGGGAAGCCTTCTCTGGGCAAGGCATATTTAAGATAAGACCTGAGAGAAGAATTAGACATATTGGGGAAGTGAGTAGGGGGGTGACTGGATAGAGAAACCAGCATGTCTGAACACCCAAGGCAAGAAAATTGTGTTTGAAATTGAAGCGATTGAAATTGAAAGCAGCCGAGTATGGCTAGACAGAGACAGTGAGAAGGAGATTCCTGTGATGGCTTAGCACTCATAGACTGATAGAATTTATGATTAGACAGGAGTCTTCTCTCAGCAGCTTACCACCTGGATAAGTAAGTAGAAATGGAACTCATAGTCAGAGGACCACAGACATTTCTCAAGGAGTAATTATAACTCAAAGAGAAGGACAGTTAAACCTTTTAATCATCACTTACCTTTGAATTTATTTCAATGACTAGAAAAACTTCATGAATGACATTACTTCCTTTTTTTCCCATGGCACCATAAACCTTATTTATTTTTTATTTATTAAATTTATTGGGGTGACATTGGTTAATAAAATTATATACATGACTTCTTAAAAAGATAAGGCTTATTGTCCTGTAGGTAAGAAGTTTACTCAGAATTATTGATTTCATTTGAACCTGACCATCAGAATAAATCTAGTAAAATCTGGAGGAAGAATTTTTCTCTACTAAAGACACAAGATCATTTCCAAACTGTCCTTCCTGATGTGCTTCCTTGCATAGGCCTTTCATGTGCCATTACCTATTGCAGAATATCAGTATTCTACACAGTATTTAGACATGTGGCCAGAATCCCCAATTCTCGATTCCTTCCATTTTCATCCACCACCATCCGTGTGTCTGGGATCTTTCCCTGAGTGCTGGTGGACTAAAGTCAAGCTCAGGCAGCCTCCTTTCTTTTGGCACTTCCTGATTTCTCTTACCACACCACAGTCATAAGGAAAAAAGAAGTTGAAGAAAAAAAAAATTCTAGCCTTATTCTGTTCAGAGCCTAAATGCTCCCACCCTAAATGCTCTGTCTACTTGGTACAAGATTCATTCCAAAACCCTAGGGTATGAGAATAAGAGCAGATAAAGCTTGAAGGGCCAGCTTTGAGCTCCTAGAGGTTAAAGTTTGAGAATGTGTTATCAACATATCATGTGGCACAAAAATTCTAATCTGAATGAATGTTTTTATGTCTATTGCAGTAAAATACATTGGATAAAGTTTGTATAAAATCCGGTTGGTCTTTGTATTTCAGAGTTTATCAGTAATCCCGTGCTGGCCACCTTCCCCAAGCTCTTGGAGCAGCCTGATGTGATGGATGCACTCAGGGTGGGTAGTATGCATCATCATGGGAACCTGATGGATTCTGCAAGCAAAAGCTTTACCACTGACCTATATATACCCTTACATCTGATGGGTTCTGAAAATAATTAAACACCACATTAGTGAGTTCTCACACCTGCTCTGGGGCTTTTTCCCCCTATTTGGATGACGTCTCCCAATCCTTGTTCATTTTCTAGCTAACTTGGGTTCATCCTTCTTTTCTTAGCTTAAGTATTATCCTGCAGTCCTGGACCCAATAAGCAGATGAGTTAGTGCCTGCTACAATCACTACTGCAATCTCTTGTCTGATTTTTTTCCTAGTAATTTTTAATTTTTCAATTACAGTTGGCATACAATATTATATTAGTTTCAGGTGTACAACATAGTGATTAAACATTTATAAAACTTATGAAGTGATCACCCGATAAATCTGGTACCCATCTGATACTATACATGGTGATTACAATATTATTGACTACTTTCCTTATGCTGTATTTCACATCCCCATGACTATTTTGTAACTACCAATATGTACTTCTTAATCTCTCATTTTCACTCAACCCCCTAACCTGCCTCCTATCTGGCAACCATCAAAATGTTCTCTGTATCTTTGAGTTTGTTTTTGTTTTGTTTATTTTGTTCTTTAGATTCCACACGTAAGTGAAATCACATGGCACTTGTCTTTCTCACTCTGACTTATTCCACTCAGCACAATACCCTCTAGGTCCATCCATGTTGCTGCAAATGGCAAGATTTAATGCTTTTTTATGGCTGAGTAATATTCCATTTTATATATGTACCCCCTCTTCTTTATCCATTCATCTATTGATGGACACCCAGATTGCCTCCATATCTTGGCTATTGTAAATAATGCCGCAATGAATATATGGATGCACATGTCCCTTCGAAGTAGTTTTTTGGGTTTCTTAGAATAAATACTCAGATGTGGGATTACTGGGTCCTTCTTTGTCTCTTGTTACAGCCTTTGTTTTAACATCTCTTTTGTCTGGTATAAGTATTGCCACCCTAAACTCTTTTTTTCTTTTTTCATTTCAATTTTCATGACATATCTTTTTCCATCTCCTCACCCCCAGTCTATATGTGTCTTTCGATCTGAAATGACTCTCTCATAGGCAGCTTATGTAAGGGTCTTGCTTTTATTATCCATTTAGTCACCTTGTTTTTTGATTGGAGCATTCAGTCCATTCACATTCAAAGCAATTGTTGATACTTATGTAGTTATTACCATTTTATTATTCATACTTTTGGTCTTTTTTTTCTCTATTTCTTTTTAAAGAATTCCTTCTAACATTTCTTCTAATACTGGTTTGTTGTTGATATACTGCTTTAGCTTTTTCTTGTCTGAGAAGCTCTTTATCTTTTTTTTTTTTTTTTTCAATTCTAAATGATAGCTTTGCTGGGAATGATAGTCTTGGTTGCATGTCCTTGCTTTTCATCACTTTAAATATTTTGAACCATTCCCTTCTGGCCTGTAAAGTTTCTGTTGAGAAATCAGTTGACAGTCTTATGGGAGTTCCTTGAAAATAACTAACTGCCTTTCTCCTGCTGCTTTTAAGATTCTCTCTTTGTCTTTAACCTTTGCCATTTTAATTATGATGTGTCGGTGTGAGCCTCTTTAGGGTCACCTCTTTTGGGATTCTACTTCTTGGACTTATACGTCTATTTCTTTCATAAGGGAAGTTTTCCATCTTCAAATAGATTTTTCAATTCCTCGCTCTCTCTCTTCTCTTCCTGGTACCTCTATAATGCAAATGTTGGTATGCTTGATGTTGTCCCAGAGGCAGGCACAGGGTTTACCTACTCTGCCATCTTGACCGGAACTCCTCTTATTTATTGTTTCATTCTTGACTTAAGATGGCTACTAATTGTGTCTTAAGAACAAAAATATAAAATGATCTGTTAGATAAATCAACTGAGTTCTCAGGAGAGAGTCAGGGCATATATATAATTTTTTATTTAATTTGACATATTCTGTCTGTTGTATGAAATAGCAGCTAGTTGAACCATATGAAATCTCCAATTTTCAGCCATTTTTTGACCTTCAAAAATGTCAGTTTTATAAGTTCAATTTAGTATATCAGGGTCAACGAATATCACAAGACCTGTATGACTAAAGGCAAATGCTCAGATACCATGGTGAGTGCCATGGCAACTGCCACAAGGGAAGTATGACCCCGGTCCTTGGAGACTTAAAGAAGGCAACAAATGAGGACCAGGTCCCTGTTTCACTAAGCAGATCCTGGGTGAAGTGGACCTAATACAAGGCTGGGGCCACGTCGGATTTTGACATGCCGAGATGGGATTAGAGCCGAGATCCAATGTGCCATGTTGGACGTCATCAGTAGATGGGCTTGACCAGTGTGAATCTTATGTCCAGGGGAGGAGTGCAGTAGGTGATGGGTAACACATGAAGGTTTTGCTTCAGGAAAACTACGGACAGCACAGAGAGGTAGAAAAGCGCTTGTGCAGAAGGAAGGTTAGCTGTGTTTGGAGGTGACTTCTTTTGGTACAGAGGAAGGTCATATGGGTCTGACAGAGAAATGAAAGATTTTTATGAGACTTTAAAACTGATTTCATTTGCTGGTTCGGCTGGGGTAAGGGGTCGTTAACAGTACCAATGAAGTTTTTAGCAAAAACACTTAAGAAAATGTTCATGGTATATGATTACCCATAATTTCAGACAAATTTATTTGGTAGTATAGCTAGATAATGCAGAATTTTTTTCTTCCCTTATAAAGTTATTAGTATCACAATATTTATTCATTATGCAGAGTATATGTACATTGATGCATTCAACTAAGATTCCCAAGATCCCACTCTGCTAGGCGCTGTGCCAGGCGCTGTCGCTGAGGTGCTGTGCTGGGCTCTGTCACTAAGGCACTGTACTGGGTGCCATGGCTAAGATGCTGCACCAGGATCTGTGCTGGACACTGTAGCTGAGGAACTGCTATGCGCCGTGCTGGGCACTGGAATGTTTTTCTAGGTGTGTAACAGTCACAGAATCTGGACTTTGTTGTTATGAGGAATTTAAGGGCTAATCTAGTCCAAATGCTATATTTCCTGATAAGCAGATGGCTCAGAGACATGCCATGACCTGGCTGGCCCTGGAGCTCAGCAGGGGCCAATCCAGCTGCCACTGCAAGTCAGCTCTAGGTGCATCCAGCTATGCCACAGGTTCTTCAAGAAAAGGCATGTGGGTAAAGTTGTTCACATATATTATTAAGTGAAAAATAAGTGCATTTGTGGTATGATTAGTGTGTGAGTGTGTGTGTATTTGTATATGTGCCTATGAAAAGGTCTGGAAGAATAGATTCTAGAAAGGTAACAATGATTACCCTTGAATATCATGGGTTGTTTCATTTCTCTATTTTCGTAATTTTTCCCAGTGAATTATTTGTATAATAAATGATAAAATTTTTAAAGTGGTTTGTTTCTATAGTGTGGTACCTTCCCTTGGTGGTGCCCTGTATGACCTAGGATAAGCCAGGCTGTGCAGCAGTAGCTAACTCAGGTTTCTTTCTTGCTCATGGTACCTTCGAATCAATGGAAGGCCCTACTCCATAGTCACCCAAGGGCACAGGCTGATAGTGTCATCTATCATGAACAACTGTCTCCCTCTGTTGCCAGCTGCCCCTCAGGAAGAGAGAAAATGGGGAATTATCCGTGGGCTTCCCACTGCCTGTGCCCCAAGGTGACATGGACCAGAAGCAGTCACCTGGCCCCACTGAACTTCAAGGGAGCTGGTGGGTAGAGTCTCCTGTTTGCTCCAGAGGAGAAAGAAGCAATCTAGGTGCATAGTATTGAACTCCCCTCCCACATGCATTCTCTGTTCCCTGCTGAGTTACAGTGAGTGAAACCCCTGACACAGGTAACTCAGTGAAAAGTGAAGTGGGACCCTAAAACTTAAATAATGAACAATGAGCAAATGCTACCATCTGGTAAGTCTAAAGCTGCTGAGTGATATTTGTGTTAAGCCAGATTTCTTTTAAGTTTACATTATGATGTGTGTGAGCTTCCTAGTGTTAGCTTAGCTAAGTTCAGTTTGTTGTTGGTGCTTGGGTGATAGTAATGGCACCTGGCCTATTTAATGAAGTACTCTACTAAGTATCAAACTCTCCAGGACTCACATGCACAGCAGTTAGTAGGTGGAGGACCACATCCTTTAAGGTAGTTCTTCCCAGGAGTAACTTAGAATGTTTGGGGACATGGCTCGTGAAGGGCACAGCAATGGTCTCTTGGTAGGAAACTTCTTTATTTCATGGAGAATCTCTGTCTTGGTGCCACCCCAGGGCCTCCCTACTGAAAAAGAGCTGATGCTTCCATGGAACCCATGAAATCAAGTGCCAACTGGCACAACCCAAGGCCCAGGAATGAGCAGCTTAGTGGGTGGAACTGGTACCATGAACATCTGACTCAGACTTCTGTGAGATTAATGAAACTCTGGGTTTTTGTTTCTTTAAAGAAGCGTTGGTGAAACCTCAAGGGCACATTGAAAATGTACTGTATTTATGTCAACCTAACCATGTCATCAGGGCAGACAGGTGTGGTATTTGGCAGACAGGTGTGGTATTTGGCAGAGTTTTCTATTGTCATTACTGTCTCACCTTAAAAGCTTGCTAGGGTTTTATTGTTCGGGCTCTGTGTTTGTGCAGTTTGAATGTATGTGTTAGTGTTTCACTGATTCTATTCTTAAATTAGTTTTAACTTGTAAGAAGCACAGACTGCTGGGGCATCTTTCCCTGTCCAGTCATTCTGGTTCCTAGTTATTAGCAATAGCTGCCTGCTGATTCAGTTCTTATGGGTGTGGGTTCCACACAGTGTCTTAAACCTTGTCCATAGTTTCAATTACAGTGATATTGTGGAACTGTGGCAAAGACTTGTGAACCATCAGATTAATATAATATTTCTATTTCCTTTTTTAGATTTCATGGGCTGAGAAAGAAAGCACATTGAAAAGATCAGAGAAGGTAATATGCTTTTCCACATAGTTCTCAGTGTGTGCTTGCACATCCTAATAATGCCTCTTTTTTAACTAAAGGAGCCATATACATAATTCTTTTTAATCCATTAAGCTGTCATTATGGTTACAGATATATTCCAAGGACCTGGATGACCGATTCCTAATGTGAAAAGAAACACTTGATCAGGTGCAAAGAAACATTCAGATCACTGAGTTTCATTTAGTTGAAGGGAAGTTTCTAAACCAAAGTATCCCAGTTGACTATCAGATTTATCTTATTTTTAAAAAATTCCTCTAGCTCTCAAAGTCTATATCAAGTAACAAAAAGGAAGAAGAAAATTAGCCTAAGCTGTATCACATATTGAAAAAGTGCATGGCTCGTGCTTACATTGCTTTAGAAGCATGGTCATTACAAACCAAACAGCACCTGCACTAGTCTGTAAGTAATGGCAACTACTGTAAATCTAGGATTCAACGAACTTTTTCTGTGAAGGGCCGGATGACTTTGTGGACCATAAGGTCTCTGTCACAACGACTTAGCTTTGTCATAGTAATGCAAAAGCAGCCATAGGTAAATATATGAGCCTTGCTGTGTTTCCATAAAACTTTATTTATAAAAAGAGGCAGTGGGCCTCATTGCACCCATGATTCATGGTTTTTGTACTTCTAAAAGTGTTATCTGCAAGGAACATGGGAGAACAAACAAACTAAAAACCCTAAAAATTGGAGGGAAAGTGTAAAAATTGTGTTCTTAGTTGAGCTTCCCTTTGACCAGTACCATCTACATTTGACCTTTGCTAAATGAGCAGGTTTAATGGTATTCTAGCACAGCTGTGGACAAGGTGTTGGGTCTGAGGACTGTAGAAATTGCCCCCTACACAGGGTGCGCTTGGAAGGGCAGCATCTGTGTGCAGACTCCACTGTATGTGGATACTTTCTCCTTCAGAATGCTGTGCTCTGTAATTCCCACCACAGCCTGTCAGTGTCAGCGTTGCTGACAGTGTTGACATTGCAGTAGTCTTGTTATCATGAGTGGGGGATGGTGGGGGTGGCCTGACTACAAATCCTTACTCCTGGGGTCTCCTTTCTCTGGATTTCATGCAGAACACTTGCTGCCCTTCTCTTATAACAACTTGACAATTCTCTGATGTGTTATAATCAAATTAAGTGGATACAGCTGACTTCACATTATGTTTTAGTTGTATTTACTTGGACTCACACTCTTGTCACCAGAATTAGACTTCAGCACCCCATTCTCCTTGAAGGAAAGTGTGAGACACCCTCAGTAGGGCGTAAGACAGCTTAGGTGTCAAGGAGCCGCCCCCAGAGCCTCAGAGAACTGCTCAACTCTGTTCCATGGTGACTTTTCTTCCACTGAGAGGGGCTGTGTCCTGACTGAGTGGCTGGTGCAGAGCTGATGACCTGCCAGGCACCATGACACCTCCATCCCACCCCTTACGGCTTTTAGTTCACAGAGTTTATTGAATTTAACACTTAACAAATAATGATGCAGATCCATTCACAGTTAACTGTGGTGTTTTCCCAGAAAGACAGAGAGTTCCTGAAAACTCTGTTTCTCCTCGTTTACCATGACTGCGTGGTCCCCCTTCTCCATTCAACACTCCTGCCGCCATTCAGGTGGGCAGAAGAAGAGACTGAGGCTTCACGATGGAAAGTCATTGCAGACTTCCTGAAGCAAAACCAAGAAAACGAGGGCTCCCTCCAAGCTCTGTTGTCACCAGATGGAGTCCATGAACCTTTTGACATTTCGGAGCAGACCTATGACTTCCTGTGTAAGATAAGAAAGAAAGCAGCCTGACATGACCTCCATGACCCCCAGCTTCCCACCAAATCTCATGGACCCTCCATGATGTCCTGAATAAAGTGACAGAACCAAAATAACTGTCACATTTAACTTAGGCTTTACTCTTCTTTGTACAGACCACATTCTATAAAAAATATTTATGGTAAGTCGAATTTGTTTTAATACAATAAAATAAGTTTTTATAAGGAGCACTGTTATATTTAAATTTAAAGATAATTATTTTTAAAAACCAGCTAACTTAAATTTAAATTTACTGTACTTATAGATTTGTATAAAAGCAAGACTTTATCAAAAGCTGAATTTATGATGATTCAAGTAAGTGAAAATTTGGAATTGAAGATATTTGCAGATCATATAACTGATACATCTAGTATCAAGAATATATAAATATGTGATTATTGCTAATGGGATTTATTTTCTGAAATGAATGGAGAAATCAGAGTAACCTATTTGAGAAAGTTATGTTGTTAATCACTTAATTCAGTCTAAGATTTGAATGTTATTTATCTTAATTAGATATAAAGGAAGAGTTTTGCCTTTTCAAGTCCATATAATAGGAACTCTTTCAAAAAAAAAAAATGTTTAGGCTTTGGGGAATGTGTAACCCATCCCTGTGTCCAAGAACATAGGTTTGTTGCATTTCAGATAAAACTGTGAGTGCTAGTAAGTTGTCCCGTTCGTTGATAATGATGGTACAGCTGATATCTGTTGAGTGCCAACTGTGCATGCTCTCAGTTAACTAGGTTAATCCCCGCAGCTTCTCCAGGAGCAGGAACAGTTTTATTCCATATCACTACTGAAGGGACAGACCAGGCAGGTTAATGAATTGGCCACGGTCGGAGCTAGTAAGCGACACAGCTAATAAACCAAGTAAAGATACCATGTATCGTTTTCTATAAACTAGGGTGCTCCCCTAGTCAGTGCAAAATGTTTAAGAATTTTATGTGAAAATGAAACATGAGAAGGCACTTGAAGAAAAAACATGGTGAAATTAGAAAAAATGTAACCTAAAAATCAGAATAGCAACGAAGGTAACTTTTTTTGACAGTATGCTACCTTAAAAGAGGCATTTATTTTTAGAGATCCATCATATTATAAAACTTCCAGGCTACATCTTACTCAGCTTATCCTAAAGTCTTAAACTAAACTTAACTTGGGACTCATCTCAGAAGTTAACATGATACTAAAGGTTCCCGGTCACAAATATGACGGGAAAACTTAGCCTTGGACAAGATATTCTGCTTTGTCTCCAAGAGTAGGTTTCTCTGCCTCTATCTCCTCTGCCCTCGGTGACATGTGGGAAGCCGAAGGTCAGATGCCCCCTTTCCAAGATGGTACCCCTTCTTCCCCTGGGCCCACTGCCCTCCCCAGTTCCTGCTCCTGCTCAGTGGGAGGTGGTGAGAGTGCACAAGGACTTCAAACCACTCTGTCACTGAGTTGCCTCCTCTTAGGTCCCTGCAGTCTTATTTGAAGGAACATGAAGCCATGTCACTCTCGTTGTGAAGATCATTTTTCTATAGAATCTGTAATTCCTAAGTTTCATCTTTTTTAATCATTTAGCTTATTCTTAACATTAAGCTAGAGTTGGGCATTTTAAATGAAAGAAACTATTGCTGATGAATTCCTTTCAGTGAATAAAGGGAGAGAGCTTTCTTGGAATGTGTTTTTACTTTCTTCCATGTTCATTTGAATGTGTCATGATCGATGAGTGGGGGCAACTTCATAGTTTCTGACACATAGAAAAACATAGAGACATGAGAGAAGACATAATGCTTAGGCCAAAAAGTGAGGCACCCAGGCAGATAGTCTGAATGAAGGGGACGATTCACAGGGGTGAGGGTGGCTCCGCCATCAAGAGACTCCACATTCTCTCCTCAGTCAATGGAATCTTTCTTTTTAAGAAACTAGTCTTTTTAAATGCCACTTTTTGGCTTTCAAAACAGAAAGATGTTGTCGAGGAGCCAAAACCATCCTGGAAATGAACCTTGGGGGCTGCATCAAGAAGCATGAGTTGGCAATATGCCAAATTAATCATGCTAGTCATGTTGTGGGGCAGCAGCAGCCTCCATATACAAGGCCCACCTGTGAGGCTGGGGACTCCTCACATCAGAACCATGGTGCAGGCCAGGGAAGGGATTCTGAACTACAAATAACGTGGCCCACTCCCCCCAACCTCCCAGCCTCTTATAACTGGTTAAGCGTTGTATCCATCAGGTCTGCTCGAGGTGAAAAACATTGCCATTCCTTTGCTTTGGTCTTGGCTAGATGGTGGGTATGTACCAAAGAGCAGTGGTTTTATGATCTAAGATCTGAGGCAGAACAATTCACAAGGAACCAGCTGAGATATATGATACCACATACACATGGAGAAGGTTTTACCTGCCAGCCCAGTAGCACTTGGGAAACCCATCTATGTAACAAGGGAGGGAGTTGGAAGTCATCCTCTAGCTAAAGGCTTGTTTGTTTGTTTGTTTGCAATATCATAGGAGATTCTTTGTCATGGACTGGCTCAGCTTCCTCTAGTATGAATCATCCAAGTGGATCAGTCTTCTCGAGGCAGGGAGGTGATCAGAGCTGGCTGTCACCTACCTGTTTTATGTTCTATTTCCTCAGAACAAAGAGTCTGAGACAGAATCCCACTACTTTAAAGCACTGAACATGTGAACTTTATGGTTGTCCTCTATTCATTCTCCTGTTCAAAATGTGCTCATTGAGCACCTTTGATGCTCCAGGTACAGCATCAGGCTTGGAGGACACAGTGGGAGCAGCCCTGACGATCCCTGTCCTGACTTACAATGCACAACGTAGACAGTAATCCCACAAAGGAAGAGTGCAGACTGCTGGAGGGCCTGCCATGTTTTTTTATTGCTGCTATTATATTTAATCAATGCCATGGCCTGAGATGTTAGTAGCACTGGGCAGGCACAGAGTAATCAGGCATATGGGCATTCCATCCTGTCCACACTCTCCACTCCACTGTCTGATGTTGGGGACTACTAGTTCAGATAAGTTTTTTTAATGGATCCCTCACTGAGCTCCCAACATTCATTGTCTGAAACTTGGAACTTGTGGATTAGATACTCCTCAACATGCAGACTTGCTATCTGAACTCTGGACATTTAAGCACAGTAATCAACAGACTTAGAGAAGGAGGAAGGGCTGGGTGGAACCATAAGTGAGGGTGAGTGAAGGGCTGCGAGTCTTGGATACAAAAAATGGGGCCTCTAGCTCTGTGATTCTGTGATTACTGATGCTGAATGAGGGCATGCAGGTTAGTGGGCAGTGATATAAAACAAATCATTTATGGAATAGAGCTCAATCTTAGGACTTTGGTCATGTGCCTATTGTGTAGTCCGTTTCTCAGGCTCTGGAGCCAGGCTGGACCTTAATCTGTTCATTTGTGTCTGAGTTTGCCAGCAAAGATAAGTTTGCAAACTTTGCCCTTTTGAAGAAGCTACCTTGAGGAATAAGAGAAAAGGCTCCCAACTTTCTGAGCTCTTCTCCACGTAGACATCTCTGGATGACCCAGACATTATCCTGTTGAGTCTTCCCTCTTTCTAGGCAACTTTCCTTTGACCCTGAAGCATTCTGTGCCTGCCCAGACCCCGTAGACCCTGGGAGCCAGACACAGTTCTGTCTGATGCCACAAACACAGCATTAACCACCCATCTGATCCAAGGCCTGTCGGTATACGCATTCTATCTCCCCCACTTGAGAGTCAGGGTGACCTTGATTTGTACATAATGGTTGCAATCCAGCTATGAATCAGCAGGCTAGAGTCAGTAGGACACAGGTGTCCCTGCAACACAAAGGGTGAGGGCTTGGCTCCTCTTTCTAGAGGGAAAGCTACTGGAGTGGGCATCTGATGCTTTTGTTACCTAATATCTATATGCTTTTCTCATGGTAGCTTCACCCCTCCTTCTCTTTGGAGGGTCCCCCTTACTCTCTCTGATTGGCTCAGGCAGAGCAGCATGTCCCATCCCCTGGTCACGGTGATTAGATAGGGATAGGCCAATAGAGAGTGAATCCCAGAGGATTTCCTCATGAAAGCACTCCCTCCCTGTCCAGTCTAGTGGGAGAGGTGAGGTCTGGAGCCACTGTGAGCTGCAGCAATGTTGCTGCCAGAAAGAGAGAGCCTAGGGCTGTGTGTGCATGGGGGTGGCACTGTGCGAGGTTAAGAATAAAGCTAACTGCAATGACAGTGACAGGCAGAGATGACAAACAGGATCTATGTCCTTGGCAGCATTCTTTGAGTCACTGGATCAAGTCTCACCTGAAACCAACATTCCCCTGAACTTCTCACTTCCCTGAGGCAGTAAATGCCCTCCATGGTTATGAAACAGGTCCTTCTAACTGTTGCAGTGAGAAAACTCCTAATGGATACAACTGTCCATTCTTTTCCCAAGCCTCTCAGGCTTTCTCCTGGCTTGCCGCTGTTTGTCAGGTGACCAATAATACTTTTCTGAAAAATGTGCAAAGCAATATATGGTCAGGAGAGAGTTTGAGGAGGAGTCAAAAAAGAGATAAGCAGTTGTCTCCAAAGTATTTATGACTGAGAGGGTAGATTTAATCATTTGAAAACATGTATTGAGTACCAGGCTGTATTCAATATGAACCAATTTACTGCTCTCCTGAGCCAGCATCCTGGAGAGGGGCAGTGGCAGGAAATACAACATACATATGAATCAATAAACAAAGAAATTAGGTAGTGACAGTGCTAAGCATAGAATCAAAACAAGCTGGTGCCATTTCAGTTCTGGTCAAATAGGGGCATATCTGCCACCCTCTCCTCCCAGAATCCCTGGACAGAGGGAGGGGCAGTTATCTGAGTACTCTAAACAATAAATGGGAGGAGGAAGATTTGGGAAGGAAACCAGAATTAAAATACTACCAAACTGGTGACGTTTCCCATTTCTTTCCTCCAGGCCCAGAGACAATGTGGAACTAAAAACTACACAGGAGACGCAAATAACATCTCCAAAAGATCTCAGTTGCTGGTCTGAGGAATGTGAAAGAGCCCCAACAGTCAGAATGTAGAATACCCTATTTATTTGTGTGATTTCCATTTGCCTGCCCAGCCCCCAGGCATCTAGTGACAGTAGTGCTGGCAATGGATCTGACAGCCAGACAGGTGATCAGAATGCTGAGGTAGGGGAACCCTTCTCTCAGACCAAAGAAAGAGTAGTTCTAAGGACAAGGGAGAAATCCTATTGCTTGTTGCTTTTTGGAACAGCAAAGTAGGGAAACTAAAACCCTGGATTTTTAGCCAGAAAACCAAGCGAGGTTGGAGGGGACAGGATATCCTGGGAACTGAAAAAGTTTGGGGGAGATTACAGAAAGGGCAGAGCTAAAGAAAATGATCCCATAAAGTAGTATATGAATGTCTGAGCTCACCCCAAAGCTGACCCTACATGGCATAGCAAAGAATTTTAGAACTGAGCTCCCAGGTCCATGACTAGCACACACACCAAACAGGTTGAGATAGCACTGCAAAACCTAAAAAACAACTTTCATTGTTTAGTAGTTTCAGCCCAGAGAAGGCAGACAGG